CAAGAAAGAGTAACGATTTATAGTGCACTAGCTAGGATAAATGATATTAGCATTATAGATATAGTAGATAATGGATAAGGAGGGAGATAGGATGATATAGAGAGAGAGAAGAGCATGAATGAATGAATGACATACAGTAGATAGAAAACACAGGAGTAAGATAATAATCTCTTTATGTGTGTGTGTTGTGCAGCTTACTCTGACCCCCACTACATCTCCAGCCCAGCGGTTCGTCAGCGTCGGACCCAGAGACCCCGCTTTAACATTCAGCAACACAGGTAACACACACCTGAGTCTAGATGGGGTGTAGACTCCCTCCACTGTGCTCTTTTCTTTTGTTTTTGGCCCTTAGTTCTGATTTAGTTCATCTTAAATCAGCTTTATACTCCGATGTCAGGACTGAGGGCGATGGTGTTGATAATCTAACTTCACGAAAATCGATGATACACACATTCACACCACTTCACACTGCTGATTGGTTAGGTGTGCAGAGGTGAGAAAGGAGCCAAGAACTTGTTTTTTTTTATTGTTACATGACTTTCTGTCACTTTTCATGATGGCAACACTATGAACATCTTCTAGGAAGACCATGTGAAAATGTGCATCATTACTAGTGACCTGAATCATGCGCTCTTCTTGCTCTCCTATCAGCCAGAGGAGTGGAGGCTGTACGCAGCTCATTAACACCTGCACTATCAATAATGTGAGGAATGTTAGTTGTCCACAACTTACTGGCCATGTAGTGTCTTTTCTGCCACATCCACTTGCCAAAGGAACAAAGGTCGTTTGCGTTTGAACCATTCGCTGACTAGTTGTAACAGAGCCTTATATGATATGTACAATCACATAGATTATCCGAGTGGTTAAAATTGAAGTAGGTATAATATGGTGTAGAAAGATTGACTGTTGACCAGAGGAAGACTGGACGGGGTGACTGATTAATGTAAGTTTTAACAGAGCTGAACGAGCCAGATCAGAGAGAGCGAGCCTCGGTTAAAATGCTTGTAAACAAAGAGCGGGGGAGAAAGCCGCACTTCACTTCAGGCCTGTAGACGTTTAGTATAGATAGAGCAGGTGGTCAGTGAATGCAAGATCCACGTTTAACAGAATACTGTTCAGTGTGTGTGTGCCCAGCTCAGGGTCTGTTTGCCAAACTGATTTATGAAGAGTGTAACGATTGGGCAGCCTTGACTTAACTTATCCCACACACACATACACACACACACACACACACACACAGTAGTGTAGTGAGATGACACTGAGGTGGAGTCCCTCTTGTTGGACAATCGAGAATGTTTGATTGCTTTAGTGTGTGTGTGTGTTGTGTGGTGTGTGTGTGTGTGTGTGTGTGTGTGTCTGTGTGTGTTCTGTGTGTGTGTTGTGTGTGTGTCTGTGTGTGTGTGCGTGTGGTGTGTGTGTGTGTGTCGTTGTCTGTAGGTGTGTGTCTGTTGTGTCACACACACACACACACACACACACACACACACACACACACACACACACACACTAAAGCAATCAAACATGTCTCGATTGTCAACAAGAGGACTCCCACCTCAGTGTCATCTCACTACACTACTGTGTGTGTGTGTGTGTGTGTGTATGTGTGTGTGGGATGAGTTAAGTCAAGGCTGCCCAATCGTTACACTCTTCATAAATCAGTTGGCAAACAGACCCTGAGCTGGGCACACACACTGAACAGTATTCTGTTAAACGTGGATGTTGCATTCACTGACCACCTGCTCTATAGTAAACGTTACAGGCCTGAAGTGAAGTGCGGCTTTCTCCCCCCGTCTTTGTTTACAAGCATTTTAACCGAGGCCGCTCTCTGATTGGCTGTCAGCTCTGTTAAAATCATTAACAGTCACCTCAGTCATCGCTCTGGTCAACAGTTTCACCTCTTCCTCTTAATCAGGGCTCAGGGTAAATTAAAGCTTTGGTAACCATGGAAACAGTGATGCTTCAGGCTCTGTTAGCAACTATTCAGCGATGGGTTAAACGCAAACGACCTTTGTTCCTTTGGCAAGTGGATGTGGCAGAAAAGACACTACATGGCCAGTAGTTTGTGGACAACTGAACATTCCCACATTATGTGATAGTGCAGGTGTTAATGAGCTGCTGTTACAGCCTCCACTCCTCTGGCTGAAGGAGAGCAAAAGAGCGCGATGATTCAGGTCACTAATGATGCACATTTTCACATGGTCTCTCCTAGAAGATGTTCATAGTGTTGCCATCATGAAAAGTGACAGAAAGTCATGTAACAAATAAAAAAAAACAAGTTCTTGGCTCCTTTCTCACCTCTGCACACCTAACCAATCACAGTGTGAAGTGGGTGTGAATGTTGTATCATCGATTTTCGTGAAGTTAGATTATCAGACACCATCGCCCTCAGTCTGACATCGGAGTATAAAGCTGATTTAAGATGAACTAAATCAGAACTAAGGGCCCAAAACAAAAGAAAAGAGCACAGTGGAGGGAGTCTACACCCCATCTAGACTCAGGTGTGTGTTACCTGTGGTTGCTGAGGGATGTTAAAGCCGGGGTCTCTGGGTCCGACGCTGACGAACCGCTGGGCTGGAGATGTAGTGGGGGTAGAGTAAGCTGCACAACACACACACATAAAGAGATTATTCCTTTACTCCTGTGTTTTCTATCTACTGTATGTCATTCATTCATTCATGCTCTCTCTCCTGTCGTTTCAGATCCAGCCACTCCCTCCTTAGTCCAGATACTTTAGACAGGACTAAGGTATCTTTGTGAAACGATGTTTAGCCTAGCTTAGCACAAGGACTAGAAACAAAGGGAAACTGTTAGTGTGGAACCATCAAAAAAAGACTAAAATCTACTTCAGGGCTGCCTGTGTCATTAACTTTGGATCAACAGTGTCATTCACAGCTCTGACGGATTAATAAAGTTTTGAAGAGCTTTATTTAGAAGATGTAGGTCAGAGTGATGACAAAGATTTATTTCCTTCTAGATATGAAGTAAATCTGAACAACACACTGCTTTAAAAACAACAGCATTAAATATATATATGTTCACGTGTTGATGAGGGGAAGTGGGATTAAATATTTTGGCACCAGCTGTGTGTGTTTTTGCCAAATGACGAAGTCATCACTAAACCCTGAAGTGAAACATGATCCAAACACAATACGAGTCTCTCCTCACAGATTATCAAGCGTTTCTTTACATTTGAAGTAAATATTAGTTTCATAATTCAAATATTTATCTGGTCTTTTGTTGTGGAGGCGTATCGGCCTCCGGGAAAACATGCTCTAAATACTTCTTTAATGTGATAATTGGTCCTGTGTGCACTCACTGGGCGAGGTGGGCGAGTTGCCTCCCCCCTCAGTGGAGGAGGTGGAGGGCGGCTTGGCGTCAACGGGCAGTGGGACGGGACGGGCCATCGGGGGAGGCGGAGGGGGAGGCAGCATGGGCGTCGGCAGGAAAGGGTTGTGGACCTTTCCCTGGGAGCTACCATTAGGCTGAAGACGCAGGGGATGAGAGGGGGGGGGGGGGGGGGAAAAAGGTTAAAAAGCATTAAATACAAATATAAACAACAACAATCTTTTATACAGAAAAACATCAACAGGTCGGTCACATGGTTAACCTGTAACAGCTCCACTCTGTTCTCCTTTGAGTGTGTGTGTGAGTGTGTGTGTGTGAGAGAGAGTGTGTGTGTGTGTGTGTGTGTGTGTGTGTCAGCAGTGTTCCTGGCTGGTCATAAAGAATTCTGCTGCTGCTCGCATTTTATCCTGCTAATCTATAAGCATAATACCACAGTACCTCGCCTCACCTCTCTGCCTCCTCCTGTCTCTTCTGTCTTTCCCTCTTCACTCTGCTCTCCACATTTACAGGTAAATACTGTCTTTATTCATACACCTGTTCAGAGCTGTGTATTCTACTCTCACACCTTTTCTAATAAACAGCAAACACATCACTCCCTTGTTGCCCTGTGATGTTTGTTTGTCAGTGTGTAATGAGCTCATCGTTGCCTCTCGTGTGTCTCGTACCAGTGGACCTCCGGCCTCAGGGGGCAGTGATGAGCTCCATGCTGCTTCGTGAACCAGAATGAGTCGGACGAGCAACAGAAAGGTGGGATTTATTCTTTACTGGAAGTGTTTTCAAACACTTTTCACCTTTACAAAAGAAAAACCTGTAAAGATGAGGACTAACTAGTTATTTCTGCGTCTGGTTAACGCCCCCACCTCCATGAAAAAATGGCACACAGCCACTTCCTGGAGCTTTTCTCTCCCACGCTATAGATCAAATGGTCCTGAACCGGATTACTGTTGTTCTGGCTCCAGACACCTGGATTCAACTTTATTCTGGATCTGAGAAACCTGAGTGTTCTCATATATAACTTCATTCATTCCTTTTTCCCACTTGTCATTAACACCTGATCCAGGTTTCTGTCATGTGATCAGGGACTTCTGCAGCTTGAGCTACGTTTGCAGTTAGTCAGTAAAACAAACATGATGAATTATATATTGATGATCCACTCTCTGGACTAAAAGAATTATACTGTAATATACAGTAGAGGATTTTATTATTGTGTTCCATCACTGCTGATCAGATGATGCTGTCAAACGAAGAACAGCAGCAGATGAACTACACTAAACTGACATCAACAAACCACAGACTGATTCCACTGCTTTCATACATAAATTACAGATTCCAGCCACTGAGGTCACGAGAGCTCAAACCCTGGAAACACGAGACTGTACAACTTCAGTGCAAACACGAAGCAACGACAAACTCTCATGTGAGAATATTTTCATATTTGTATCCTGAATGTCTCAGGTCAGGGTTTGTGAGATTTATTAGTTAATGTAATCAACTCCCCTAAAAGTGCATCGTACGACTTCCTGTCTGCTCAGTTTCATTCACAAAAATGTAACCAAAATGGATTGGTCATGACACTGAGTCAGTCAGTGGAATGATCTCACAGCCTCCAGCAGGTGATGTCACACAGTCAGGTGATCCTAGACCTGCAGACAGTGAGATCGCTGTGCCAAAATATAATGATAAAATCATGAAATCTAAAAAACTCTCACTAAATTGTAATACGATGAAGAGAATATTCATTTTTCTTTTATTTGATATTAAAATTCCAAATTCATTCAGATCAAGACATTATAATCAGGTGTTTTTACACCAGTGCAGAAGTGACTCGGTCGACAGGTCTGGACCAGTCCTGCATTTGGTTTATCTGAAATCCCTTGTTCATGTCTTTGATGAACAAACCAGTGAATGACTGGTTCTTACAGGAGGAGCACTGGTCTCAGTAAGGTCTCTGTCACATGTCCAGCGTTGATGACCTGCCATGATGATATGAACTGTGTTTATCACTGCTACTAAATCCACAGATGTGCCACTTGGATCTTTTCAGAGACGTTCAAGACACTAACAGGTTTTTAAAAAATGGTGAAATCCAGAGAGAGAGTCACTGAACTGGGAACACTGGAGAGAAACCTTCTGACTGGTCTGTTGTTTACATGTATCAAGACACGATGATGTGTTTTAGCACTCGAGTCCACTTTTTACTATGCAGGCAAAAACAGACTGTGTGTGTGTGTGTGTGTGTGTGTGTGTGTGTGTGTCTGTGTGTGTGTGTGTGTGAGTGTGTGTGAGTGTGTGGTAGGGGTGGTGGACGGTGTATTGATTCAGTGTCTAGACACAGATATATCAACTATCTCACTGCAGACAGAAGGCCACACACACACACACACACACACACACACACACACACACACACACACACACACACACTGCAGTGTTTCCTGCGACTGATCCCACCTTTGCAGAGGCTGGAAAACCCAGCTCACATGAGTCTGTACCTCTGTGTATTTATACATATACCGTGTGTGTGTGTGCGTGCGTGTGTGTGTGTGTGTGTGTGTGTGTCTGTGCTTACGTTGAGGAAGCCCACCTGTCCGGCCTGCTGGGCGGAGTCAGGACAGACCAGTTGGACGAACTCCTTGAGCGTCTCCTGCGGGTGATACCTGATGGCCGGGTGGGAGAAGTAGGAGCCGGGCTGCTGCAGGATGGGGGAGGAGGAGAAGTGGAGGCTGGAGGGGGGAGCGTGGGGGCTCGCTGTGGCGGGGGCAGCGGAGAGGGGGGGGTGAGGAAAGGGGAAGGGAGAGAAACAGAGAGAAAATTATTCAGAGAAAGGAGAGGTGGGAGAGTGAGGGAGAGAGTTGATTGAAAGAAGGGAGAGAAAGGAGGAGGAGGAGGAGGTGGAGGAGGCGTGGCTTAATATGCAAATACATGATGACAGACACACAGCAGAGCAGATGAAACAATGACATCAGATCATAACGCACTTCTCACACCAGCTGTCAATCAAAACAAGAGGGTGGAGGTCAATGGACATCGCTCATGTAGCTCCTCTTTTCTTGTTTGTTCTTGTATCCTCCTCTATTTTTGTTTCCTTCTCTCTTTTCCTTTCCCCTCACGTCCTCTACTCTTGTTTCCTCTTGTTTCCTTCCCTCGTTTCTCGTCTACTCTTCTTCTTCCTTTCCTTCCTCTTCTCATTGCTTGTATCCTCCTTTCTTTTTTCCTCCTCTCCTTTTTTCTCATGTTTCCTCTCCTCATTTCCTTCTTATTTCCTTACTTGTTTCATCCTTTCCCTCTCTCCTCTCCTTGTTTCCTCTCCTCTCCTCTCCTCTAATCTAATTAAGGCTCTAATTGGTCTAATATTCTCTGATTGCTCGCTAGTGGACAAGGCCTCGTTAAGGACTGTGATGTATAGAGCTCCAAGCAAGGGGAGAGAAGAGAGAAGAAGAGAGAGATGTAACGGAGGGCAGAGAGAGAGCGAGACAGACATAGATAGAGAGACATTAGAAATGATAGCGACAGAGAAAGAGAGAGAGAGAGAGAGAGAGAGAGAGAGAGAGACATTTAAATGTAAAGAGAGAGAAGAAAAGAGAGAGAGGGATGGATGGAGAGTTAAAGCTGCTGCACTAATTCACTTAAAGTCTGCTGTGATTTATCACTCTGACAATACACACTGACCCACTGTGTGTGTGTGTGTGTGTGTGTGTGTGTACCCTGCGGCCAATGTATTTACAGTAATCATTGGATGGATGGCTTTCTCTGCCCTCTTTCTCTCTTTCACTCTCCCTCTCTCTCTCTCTCTCTCTCACACACACACACACACACACACACACACACGCACACACACACACGCACACACACACGCACACAATAGGACACTGTGTATGTACATTAACAGAAATGATCTCACTCACTGTGCAGGCATGCACAACCACCTGAGTGTGTGTGTCTGTGTGCGTGTGTGTGTGCGTGTGCGTGTGTGTGTGTGTGTGTGTGTGTGTTCAGAAGTGGTCAACCACAGCTTGAGGTATATGAATAAAATGTGTTGTATTTTTCATGATACACAACTTCTCACAGTTTTGAACAGTAACAAACACACAAGCCAGTCACAGCGTCTGAGTCAGTGAAGCTCTGTAGGAGTCAGTAGCTGTAGTTTTGGACAGAGCCGTAGCTGTTTCCCCCTGCTTCCACTCTTTATGCTAAGCTAGGCTAACTGGGTTTGGTTCTGTATTTAATGCAGATATAAGAGAGGTTTCCATCTGCTCCTTTAACTCTGAGAAAGAAAGAGAACCTCTGCTGTCAGATCCTCACCCCACTGCCTCCCTGATCTCTCACTGTGCTCTGTAGTCTGAATCATACAAATTTGGACAAAGGCACTTGTTTTTGGATACGTATGTAATATGTATTGTTGGATGATACGCAAAAACATCATACTGCGATCATTCTGGCAGATATTGTGATTTGAGTTGGAATGGTCAGTTTTTTGTTTGTTTTTTTAAAATTATTTTTTTGGGCCTTTTATGCCTTTATTTGATAGTACAGTAGAGAGACAGGAAATGGGGAGGCAGAGAGAGGGGGAATGACACGCAGAAAAGGGCCGTCTGATGCGGGGCTCGAACCGGGGCCGACTGCAGCGAGGACCTTAGCCTCTGCACATGGGGCGGATGCTCAACCAACGGCACCACTCGACGCCCCGGAATGGTCAGTTTTTAATTTTCAGTGAAAAAAATCTAAAAATGATGATGGTGTGATTTTTGTTGGTCTTGTACCTAAAAATCATGTCCCTTTACGTCTGGAGAAGATGATTGTTATTCTCTTAGATCATCATATGTTTGTCATGTCCAGTGAAAACCAGGGGTCGGTATAGAGAATATATTTCATCTTTGTGACGATGCAGTTTCCTGATCTGAGAGGATTCGTGAACAGTTTATTAATCTTTAGAAGGAGGAGACACTTCATCACTTCATCCCCAGTTCATCAATAAAATTCAAATCCAAAACTGCTAAATTTGGAGATACATGGTTTTCACTGGACAGGAAGGATATTAAATCTGAACTACAGCTGCTCGACAAACGTATAAAGATGCATGAAATGGAAAATACTTGTCTTTGTACTGAAGCACAGTTCTACATGTTCCGGATGCTGTTAAATGAACTAACAAAACATTTCAAGGCCTTTAATTCGGTTCAATTTGAACANCCCTCCCCCTCCCCCTCCTCCTCCTCCTCCATCTCCTCCCTCCTCCCCTCTTCATTTCTCCCCTGCCAACTTTTCCACGAAGAAGATATTTGCTATCAATTGGTGGGGATTGATAAACGATAAGAAGGAGGAGAAGAATCAAAATGGCAGAGCTCCTGAAGGACGGAGAGATGGAGATGGGAAGATTTGGATGAAGAGTAGGAGNGGCACCACTCGACGCCCCGGAATGGTCAGTTTTTAATTTTCAGTGAAAAAAATCTAAAAATAATGATGGTGTGATTTTTGTTGGTCTTGTACCTAAAAATCATGTCCCTTTACGTCTGGAGAAGATGATTGTTATTCTCTTAGATCATCATATGTTTGTCATGTCCAGTGAAAACCAGGGGTCGGTATAGAGAATATATTTCATCTTTGTGACGATGCAGTTTCCTGATCTGAGAGGATTCGTGAACAGTTTATTAATCTTTAGAAGGAGGAGACACTTCATCACTTCATCCCCAGTTCATCAATAAAATTCAAATCCAAAACTGCTAAATTTGGAGATACATGGTTTTCACTGGACAGGAAGGATATTAAATCTGAACTACAGCTGCTCGACAAACGTATAAAGATGCATGAAATGGAAAATACTTGTCTTTGTACTGAAGCACAGTTCTACATGTTCCGGATGCTGTTAAATGAACTAACAAAACATTTCAAGGCCTTTAATTCGGTTCAATTTGAACAGAGTGAGAGAGGTTGTAGCGCCTTCTACAGGCTGCTGTGTCCATCACACCTCAACACTGACAAACACACTGATGATGTGTGTGTTGTAAAGATCCGTCCTCTGAACGAAGAGAGACAAAATTAATATTGATCTGCTCGTCTGTCTTCAGGCAAAACAGCAAACAGAAGGACTTTCCAAAATGTCTCAGTCTTCCTCCTTAAACAACAGTGTGTGTGTGTGTGTGTGTGTGTGTGTGTGTGTGTGTGTGTGTGTGTGTGTGTGTGTGTGTGTGTGTGTGTGGTATTGAGGACCGGCGGCCTGCATGTCGAACACAGAAGAAAGGGCTGGGATTAGTTCCACTTTGCAAATTGCCTCGCTTCACTGCTCAGACGCCCCCCCCCCTCCCCCTCTGAGATCTCCTCATCGCCTCAACCTTCATCTTTATCTCTTCCTACACAATTGATGCGGGTTATCCTCCTTCTCCTCTCTCCTCTCCCCTTCCTTCCTCTCTACAATCACCTCTCAGCTGAATTCAACTTCTTCTTTTTCGGTCAGAATTTCACCCCCCCCACCCCCCCCCCCCTCCTACTCTTCATCACAAATCTTCCCATCTCCATCTCTCCGTCCTTCAGGAGCTCTGCCATTTTGATTCTTCTCCTCCTTCTTATCGTTTATTCAATTCCCCACATTGATAGCAAATATCTTCTTGTGGAAATTTGGCATGGGAGAAATTCGAAGAGGGGAGGAGGGAGGGGATGGAGGAGGAGGAGAG